CTAACTAACTAACTAACTAACTAACTAACTAACTAACTAACTAACTAACTAACTAACTAACTAACTAACTAACTAACTAACTAACTAACTAACTAAATAAATAAATAAATATCCAGCTATACATGCACACTCATATGTGCTAAATCATTATTGCTACATTTAAAAGAGTTCATTGAATATCAGGAACAGCTAAAGACAAGAGCTTATGTCAATATATCTGTTGTTCCACTAGGTGGCAGTGTTGTTTTCAGCTCTTGTTTCAGACAAAGGAAGAATTGACCTCATGTAGGAGTTCTGTCGTGATGGAACTCAGTGATGATTTATGCTCAGAAAACCTGTTAAAGATCTTACAGCTTGGAAAAAAAAGTCTTTATAGCAACAAAAGCTAAGGAATGCTGACTGGCAGATATAGAAACTGCACAAGAACACAAAACATAAGAGCTGGACAGTTTCAGCTGTCCTGATGCATCCTGGGAAATTGTTCTTGCACCCCCTGCTTTTAACATTTGTTTTTCATGCTACATGTGTTTACATGAAGTAACTGAAAGCTGCAGGACTTTGTGAGGAAAGATTTTAGTGTTTTAAAGCCTGCTGGGTTTTTCTCTCCACTTTTCAGTTTTATACCCACATATTGACGGCTGCTTTGATAGTTCTGTTGTGATGTTGTTTAGATTATTGAACTTGATGATTTTTATTGTTTTTGGACTGCTTTGTCTTTGTAAAGGATCTGGAATAATTATAATTTTTAATTCTAAAATTTCTTCAAAAAAAGATAGTGGCGCAGCTCCACCACGCAGGAAAATAAAATCAATTTGTATTGTTTATTTTGAAGAGCTTTGGTGGAAAACACTGAGGCCTGAAACTAACAGCATCATTATACAGGTAGCATGAATTATTAATCACAATATTTCTATTTCTCCACTGATGCACACAAAACACTTTTTCCTTTTGCTCTTGTTCATAGATTTTGTTAGTGCCTCTGTGTAAAAAGGTTTGTTTTACAGTTTTATTTTGCACGCAGGAAATTCAGACTTTAATAATACATCATAAGGAAAACAAAAAACACCTTGAGCGTGAAAAATTGATTAAAGATTTCACAAAACAACAAAATGTTATATATTTTTTTATTTACTGTTTGTGTGGAGAGTGAAACAAGCAACAGTACGTGGCATAAATACGCAATTTATTTTCCTTTTTAACCTAACGTGATGGAAAATGTAGTGAGTCACTTATTTTGACAGCATATCAGTGTTTCTGTTCATCACATTAACAGCTGCAGTGTTGAACTGTGGACTCTGAGTAACACACTGTTGTGTTTAATAATGCTGCTCAAATTTCCCCTACACACACACACACACACACACACACACACACACACACACACACACCTCAGGGTAAAATGCTGTGGTCACATCGCATATCACCTCTGGAGCTGAACAGTTGCACTGATTCATCCCAACAAGTTAATCCAGAGCGTTACGCAAGTCAAGTCCAACAAAACAACCAAGTATCTGATCCACTAAATCACACAAGCTGATGTCTGTAATCGAGTAGTTCAAGTCTTCATTCTGACAAACCATGAAGGCAGATGTCACCGTAGATTTTAGACGATTTGCTGAACTTTGTGCTTTGAGGTGTACATCAGTGTCCCAAGCCACGTCGCTAACCAAACTAATTATTTTGTCCACTATAGTGAGCAGTTGTGTCACAGAAAGTCTATAGTCTCTTTCACAAGACAAGTTCTGATAAATCGCTGCACAGACCGGTCCGGCTTTAAGCTCCCTCGGTTTATTATAAATCACGGGAGAAGCCGTCCAGTTCCCACTCACATGTATGCGCTCAGAAATGAACCAATGAGGCGTGGAGCAGATCTCAGCTCGGCTGAAATGAACGTGACGTATTTATTGTGTGATGGAGAACTGTCTCGTACCAAATAAAACAAACTAAATTAACTGACTTTAGCGATCCTGTGGTTCAGTATTTTTTAAACCAACTACACAGTTACTGTTCTGTGTCATWTTTAATATTCCCTCWGGAAAAAAAATCTGTTGATTAATCCTGCAGTCACATAGGCTACTGACGTCTTTTAAACATAAAACAATAAACTAAACTGATWCATTTTAGTGATCCTGTGGTTYAATAWTTTTTAAACTAACAACAAMGTTGTTTAGTGTCATCTTTAGTTTTCCCTCGRTAATAAATCTGTTTGTTGATTAATCCTGTAGTCGCTCACTGATGTCATCAGCTCATTATCATTTTCTGCTCGGCTTGGGTCCGGCTCTGATAATACCTCTCTTGGGGGCTCAGAGGGTCATCAGAGGCGGGATCACTTTACTCGCCTTTCCACCTTCGTGTTTATTCTGAATGATCTGAGGACAGAACACATCAGTTCTGGACTGAGCTGTCTTGTGAATGAGGCGTATGTGTTTGCTGATGATGTGGATCTGTTCCTGTCTGAGATATTTCTCCAATCAGATCCACCGTAGTTTATTGTATTCCTGTAATATATCTTTATTTTTTACTTTCCCTCTGGTCTCTTCTGAGTTAGACATTTTTTTTCTTTCTTCTGAAAACAGATGTCTTAATATCACCGGTTTGATTTTAAACACTGTTGTAAATGACAATCTGTGTGTATTTTAGTGCTTTTTACAATGCTGGTGTTTATGAGCTGTACTGCTTAAATGGGATTTATGCATTCTGTGTCAGACAGGATACACAGACACTAACATTTAACTTTAAAAACAGTTTAAAAAAAGCAAAAACCTTCATAAATTCAGTCTAATTGCTTAGAGTGATAACAAATGCTGACTCCATGTCAGAACATTTAACTTTCATAAAATAAAGAGTTAATGTGRTTCTTTCAGGGTTTTGCTGCTCAGATCTGACAGTAAAGATTATATTGCTACACTGTGGGTAGTTTTATAGAAGAGTGTTCGCTTTAGTCTGTCTGTGTGCGTGAACATGTAGATGTGGTCATTCACACATCCAGATCACTGGGCTGATGGACAGAACTGGGAGGTGGGGTGGCGGGGGAGCCACAGAACGAGGTGCATTCAGGTCAATTCAATTCAAAGCCAATGTGACAAGCTAATTTTCCAGCCCGGTCATCTGAGGAAGAGGAAGGAGGAGCTGAGGACGAAGGGAGGGAGAAGAGTGTGTGTCCACATTAAGGCGAGTCCAAAAGCTCGGATCTGTGGTGGTCTAGGCTTGGTTTAGTGTTGTGAGACCGCTGCATTGATGCAGAGACGTGCAGCAGAGATTTTACAGCAACATCTGCCATTTTTCCAGGGTTATCTGAGTATTTTTCACCAAGATGATATAAAACCACATTCTGCCCCGGCTGAGGAAGAAAAGGGGATGGGTTCTGGTCTGACCTGCCCCTAATAGAGAACGCTGGAAACTTGGAAATCAAAAGGATGAACTAAATAACCAAATCAATTAGGAATGCGTGGTAGACGGTAGAAACGGTATGAAGTTGGCCTACGGTAGAAATTTACCCTCTACCGTCCTATCGTCATTACGTCATCGTGTRTCAACAGGGCTGCGAGTGCAGCGACAACTGAGCAGGAGTTCGAAATATAATGAAGAAATTCTAGCGTTAAAACGCGTCTAGAGAGAATAAATCCTCTAAATTTCCTCCTCCCACTGTAGAAAAGTTATGTCGTGTCGCGGGATCATTTCCTCCCTCCCTCCCTCCCTCTCCTCTCCTCCCACTGCACGTCGCGCAGAGCGACGCTTTAACAACTGTTGTTTTTCACACCCAATTGTCGGAAAAAAAAGTTTATGTATTGTTACCCACAGAGATTATTTAAGAAAAAAGACGCGGATGCTCGTTCAGTCATAAATTCATCTTGCTAATGTAAAGTCAGCTTCTGCTCTGATGATGAAGATGAGCGCGCAGCAGAGCAGCAGCTGATAGATTCAGCAGGCAGATGCTGGGTTTGATTATGTTTAGGAAAAAATTGCTCTAAAAATTACATCATCTTTACTTTTTATAATAATTTTCTACCGCGATAAATACCGTTACCATGAAGGGTTCAGTTTATACCGTGATATGAATTTGAGGTCATACCGCCCAGCCCTAAAATCAAATAAACATTAGTTCTTCACATTCTTTGGATCGTCCTCCTGATGGCAGCTTTCACTATTAAAACCTGTTCCTCTGAAAACCTCTTCCTAATCTTAGCTCCCTGCTAAACTCCAGAACAGTTTGCAGATATTTGTTGCTCGGTGGCGTCTGTGGCTTTAAATGCACGCACACACACACACACACACACACACACACACACACACACACACACACAC